TGACTGGAGATGTGTTTGATGTTGGGATAGGACGTAAGTTAATCTGCCCTAGCATGCCACTATCAGAGACAGAATGTTGACTGGAGATGTGTGTGATGTTTGGCTAGGATGTAAGTCAATTTATCTTCAGTTGGTGCTATCTTATATAGCGATCAGCACTAGGCCTCTGGGCTTTTTATGGATCAGTCTGTATCTGATATTACCCCATCACAGAACACCTGGGTCAGTTCTACCGACGATGATGTAATCAAACGCCTCAATGCTGGTGGCACCCTTTCGCCCGATATTGGTCAGTTCGACTTGCTTGGAAAGTGGTTTGATATATGTGATGAAACCCATCAGTCTTGTGGCAAGAGTACCGACACTTGGCCAACAAGGGTGGTTTTTGTCGGACATTCGAATAAAAATTCCTTGCAGCTGCAAGAGCTTGAAAGTTCCGTTGACTACATAGCATTATCTCACTGTTGGGGTGATAAGACCCTTGAAAGAGAACAGTGTCTAACCACCGATCGCAACTACAGTCAGCGAAAACAGGGGTTTCAGTATGACCAGCTTCCACGCTTATTTCAAAATGCTATTGAAGTGACGCGCAATCTTGGGAAAGATTATCTCTGGATCGATGCTCTCTGTATCATACAGGGAAATAAGGACGATTGGCAAAAAGAAGGTAAAAAGATGGAAGATGTCTTTGCTTCTGCATACTGCACCATTGCACCGAGCTCAGCAACATGTTGGGTAGACGGCTTTCTCTCCAATTTTCCGACAAAAATTCCGATTCATAAAGTGTGTCAGAGTCCCAATCCGGAGCACGATTTCTCTCAACACGTGGATAATGGTCCCTTAAGCAAGCGAGCGTGGGTACTGCAGGAGCGAATACTTTCACGCCGGACAATCTTTTTTACCTCGCGAGGCATCTACTGGGAGTGTGGCAACGGTGTTCGGTGCGGAAATCTCACCATTCTAAAATGGTAATGCTCTCCACTTTTCACTAAAAGAATTTCAGCTCACGTCTCCAACGCACAAGCCCTCTCTCAAGATGGTACTCAATAGATTCCAATTTTCCTTCAAGACTGCATATTTCGGGGGTTTCATCAACAATCACATTTCTCCAAGAACTCATTAAGGACTACACTAGTCGTTGCCTTACCGTTAAGACAGACAGGGTCCTTGCGTTCTCCGGGTTAGCCAAACGGATAAGCAAAGCGTTGGACACATATGAGAACCATGGAATCTTTGAAAATGTTATGCACAGGCTCCTTTTATGGAAGCGACCTGATTCCAAGACAAAGCCACTTGATTACGAACAGTTCAAACCGCCATCCTGGTCTTGGATGGCATATAACGGGCGTGTTGATTTTATGACGGTTTCACCACTCCGGGTTTCAAGACGTCTCAGATTCGCCCACGATCACTTGGAGGTCGAAATTCGAACGTTCGCGGTTGAAATGCTCAAGAATTGCGAGATGCGAAAAGACAAAGAATATTATACTGTCATTGCAGGGCAGAAAGAAGTGGGCTCCTTTTATTTCGACACAGACAAGACCTTATTTGAATCCTGTGTTGTCATTGGGATAGATAAGGAGGACAGAGACGATGTTTCTGACAAGATATACTATATACTGATCGTGGACAAATGTTGGGGACAAGGCTGTTATCGAAGGCTGGGTGTTGGAAAGATACAAGCACGCTATGTTTCGGAGGAAAACGGGGACGGCAAGCTTGTCTGAGTTTTAAGAAAGTATAACTACCAAAGGCTTTCTCAACTACGGCCTGAACTGGTACTGGGACGCATGCTGTGAGAGAACTGCCAAGCAAATGGTTCGAGGTTCAACCCTCCTTTATCTGTGATACTTAGTTTATTGGATTCAGTCAAATTCGAAGTTTCTACAGTAACCAATCGAATATTAGTGGCTGCAGTGAACAGAAAGATGCAGATAACGAGAAATATACAGCATAATCCATATCGTTCCGGTATAAAGTATCTATGAGCGTACTTGTTTTCATCCTTCCAAAGGCTAACGATACCGTGCGAAGTGTGTTAATGCCTCAAGCCAGGAACCCAGATGGTCTTTTTATACGTTATTGATCGCTGTTATTGAGATTTATATCAGTATAGTTTAAAAGTTGGGTTATGCCCTGCTACTCGCTGGGGGACTATTCTTGCCTGCTCTGCCCTGCTATTCCTATGTTTACTCACAGGACCACCCTCTTTCTTCGCTATTCACGGGTTGGGACAGAAGATGAAGTAGCCTGTTACTGAAGGCTAGTTGCTCGGTAGTGCTTCCCGCTACAGCAGCTAGTGGACAAGGCGGGCAAGCGCAGACCGCATAAAAGTACGCTATACCCATGAATTGAATCACTTGTTCAAGAATATGAACTAACAATTGAAATACTGTATGACTCTTTTGCTCTTCAAGCTGCCGCCTCTCAGCCCCGTAAATCTACTCACGGATAATGCCAGGCACGTCTTCGTTGGACTCTGATCTCTTCCCACTCTTCAAGTATCGGACCAGGCTAGGTGGCTAAATTATAGCAGCGGTAATACCTTTTCTTTTTCACCCAGTAGGGTTCCACGCTCCTAATAAACTTTTGCCCCACTAACAGTCTATTATCAATAATCTATTTTGCTGCCTCCGGTGAGTCCAACCAGACCCTTATCAAGACTGATTTTCTTAAAGACATGTCCCTCTTCTTCAACCATGCAATATCTTCGACCCGGAATTTCTTATCATGGAGATCATTCTCAGCTATAATCTTCTTAATCCCTTGTTTCTTGTTTCCTTCTAATTTGAAGTCTTCGGTTGGAACTCAGTGAACCACGATCCCAAACTGGGGTTTCATTACTTTGGTGTTGTTTCCCAGCTCTTCCAGTCATTTGGTGCTGTTCCGGGCTGTCTCCGCAGACTGGGTGTCCTGGAATCGAATGATATACCCTTGTTTAGTAATACCAATGCCCGCGACTTGCACTTCTCTGGTAGATTTTATGTTCAGCAGGGCGGTCTTGATGTGTGTTCGCTGCTTCAGTAAGAAGGGCTCTTGAGAATCGGTCATTGTTAAAATCTTGATCGAGGGTTGGTGCGGTATTAATTCGGACACAGTTGGGTTCCTTCCTGGGGCGCGGGATGGTTCTTGCTGGGTCTGGCTGAGGGTTGCCAGCAGCCACTTCCGCCCAGGATCTGTACACGGGGGCGTTCAGCGGTTGTGCTTCCAATTTGGCCTGTAGGGCTTGGATTTCTTCCTGCAGTTCCTTATTGTGGGTTCGCAGGAGCTGTTATTCAGCTTTCAGTTCTTGGACCTCCGCCCTCACTGTCTCAATTATTTCGGTCTAGTGTTTGAGTGCCTCATTGAAGCTGTTGAAATATTGTCAGACATCCTGGTTTGTCACCCGCCCGTTGCTTTCTCCGCCGGTCGCAAATTCAGGGTTCGCGATCGGCTCATTTTCCTCTCCGTCGAGGCCTCGCCTGCGGCGTTTTCTTGCTGCTGGGATCCTTGGGCGAAAGTCATAGTCGCTGAAAATTGTCGCTGTTTCTTGGGTGTTCGTGGGATGGGGTTCGGTAACCCCTGGCGGGATCGCCATCGGGCCGAGACTAGTGCCCGCTCGGCACACAGTGACAGCCACAACACCTCACTTACTCACGATGGTTTGATATACGAATTTTTGGACTGCTATAGTACTTTTCTTTTGCGCCTCAGTCGCTCTCAGCCGTGGCAGGCTACAGTCCGTCTCGAAATCGCTCTGACCTTCAAACAAGAGAGAATTGTCTTCCGGACCCACTGCCAAGCACCTAGTGAGTATGCTATAGTGAACCACCCGCCCATACATTTCTTAGCGTATAGATTTATGCATCAACTTATCCGCCTCATTAATCTGCATAAGCTGACTTCCGCTTTCCATTCCTCAACCATCGTGACAAAGAATGAGATCCACTAGTTACGTACGTACATAATATGATGCAACCATGTAGAAAGGCAGCCATGCATACGGATAACCACGGAAGATCTTCATGGAAGACCATGGAACGATTATTTTCGCAGAACCAGGAAACTCTTGTTCGTTGGTCCATCCATCCACGCCGTGTGTCATTAACTTCCCCTTCTGTCATCCACGTATCTGTGCCTTGCGGGTCATATAACGGTTGATAGACGCACAGTCCGTTCCATAGAGTCCGATGAGACAGAAGAGAATACCTGCGTGGCCAAAACCGCACCTGTCGCACAGGAACCAAGAGTACATTTGTTGTTCACTAGCTATCTAATCAAGTGCTAAACCAACAGGACAACATGCAGGGCGCTGCGAACGCGGACAGTCCATAACGTAGCAGGCAGTAGTAAAAACTTAGAGAACTTGCTTGATGGGACACTTGACGACCAATTTGGATGGGGGCTATCGAAAACATGTCACTCAGCTAATTCTTCAGGCAGAACTGTACCACAGCAAATCCTAAAGATTTCCAATAATCTCTAGAAGCATTTCGGTGTATTTGATTTAGGAGATATCTGTAGGAGTAGTTTGGCGAGTGCATGCTGAGAATCAAGTCGAGAAGGGTACTCTTGGGTCAGTGTTCTTTCCTTAACTGCAACGACGTGCTCTAGAAGCACCACTGCTTCCTTCATCTGTCCATTATATTGATATGCACCCGCGAGCGCATGCTGAGAAGTGAGTCGATCAGGGTGCTCTTCAACTAGTATGCTTTCTCGAACTGCAACCACATGTTCCAGAAGCTGGCAGTTCGCCACGTGATTTATTTGTGAATGTCCCACCCACTGTTTGCGCAGATTACGTGCCACAAGGGAACGGGTGAACCCGCTCTCGACACCAGTTCAACTCAACTTCGGCCATAGCCGTTTCCGACTTACCGATATCAGCCTTCATGGCAGAGCCGATAAAATCGTCATTCAGCAGCATGTCGTGCCAGCATCCGCGCTGCGCCTCCCTCGGGCGGCTATCACGGATCTGTGATTGGTGAGTACAAGCGTAAGGCTGCGGACAGAAACACTCCTCATCTGTCTCGCGATCTTAGCTCTGCTCACCCTCATGTTGACGCCTTTGTATCATAGCCGGGGCGCAGGTATCCAGCAAGCTCTACCTTATTCTTCTCATATTCTTTGCAGGCTCTCCTGAAATGCGACCGAAAAGCCGCAACGATTTTGCGATCGCGATCATTTGTGCCCTTCCCCTGGAGGCTGACGCTGTTGAGACCCTGTTCGACGAACATTACGATCGACTAGGAAAATACTACGGCAAACAACCCAGCGACGCGAATGCGTACATCAATGGAAGGATTGGCAAACATGACGTGGTCTTGTGCTATATGCCAGAAATGGGAAAGAGAAGTGCAGCAGGTGTTGCCTCTAGCCTGAAAATCAGCTACAGGGGTGTCAAGCTTGCTCTGGTGGTTGGTATTTGTGGGGGTGTGCCTTCTCCACCTGACTATCAAGAGATATTCCTAGGTGATGTGATTATCGGCGATTCCGTGATCGAATATGATTTCGGCAGGCAATACCCTGGTGGTTATCGAAGGAAAACTGGCGTTAAAGACACGCTGGGGAGGCCAGTTCAAGAGATTCGGACACTTTTGAACGCCCTCCGTGCTGAGAATTCCCGCAGCGAACTTCATAGTCGGACACAACAATACCTTCAAGTTCTCCAGCAAAAAGCGGCGAGGTGGAGTCATCCCGGAGTCAGCGATGTCCTTTTCAGGGCTTCCTACCTTCACAAACATTATAATCACCCTTCTCCTGCCGAGTGTTCCTGCTTTGAAAGCGACTCACCGGAAAGAGTTTGTGAGGAGGCGTTAGGAAGGGACTGTGACGAGATTGGTTGTGATCGTAGCCAACAAATTCGATGTCGAGAGGCTTCAGGCGCCAATCAACCCTCAATATATATTGGACCAGTTGCTTCTGCCGACACGGTGATGAAGTCCGGACAGCATCGAGATGAAATAACCGGGAGAGAGAAGGTCATAGGATTCGAGATGGAGGGAGCAGGGGTATGGGACAACGTCCCATGTATCATCATCAAGGGGGTGTGTGACTATGCCGATAGCCACAAGAACAAGCTGTGGCAGGCGTACGCCGCTGCGACCGGAGCTTCGGTGGCAAAAGCTTTCTTGGAGTACTGGGTGCCTGAAAGGCGCGAAGGTGAGTCAAGTTTCAGGAATTTCTGAGAAGTATACTTAAACTAGGTCCCGCTGATAAATTGTCAGCCAGCCACCTTGTTTTCAGGAATATTCCTTTTCCAAAGAACGAAGGCTTTGTTGGCCGTGATGGACAGCTTCGTCAGCTTGAAGAGCTGTTGTTTTCCCCAGGCCACCAACAGAAGGTTGCAATCACCGGCCTCGGCGGAGTCGGTAAAACACAGATTGCACTCGAATTTGCGTACCGAACCCAGCAGTCGCGACCAGACTGCTCGATTTATTGGATTCCAGCTACGAACTTTGAGTCCCTGCAACGAACGTATTTCTACATTGCCCAGCAGCTACAGTTGCCAGGACTTGAGGAAGAGGGAGCGGATGCCAAGAAGCTTGTCAAGGACTACCTCTGCGACAGTAGCGCGGGCGAATGGTTGCTGATATTCGACAATGCGGACGATATTGACATGTGATTTGGCAAGCCCGACGGTACCACCGAGCCATGCCGGTTGAGCGACTATGTTCCATGGAGCAGGACAGGCAGCGTACTTTTCACCACGCGTTTCAAGAAAGTCGCCTCTAAGCTCGCGATGCAAAATGTGATCAGAGTCCCAGAACTAGACGAGGCTAGAGCGCTAGATCTTCTTAGTGAGCGGCTGGTGGATAAGTCTCTGTTACAAGATGGAGATCAATCTGCGCTGCTTTTAAAGCAGCTCACTTACCTCCCGTTGGCAATCGTACAGTCTGCTTCTTATATCAATGAGAACTGTCTGAGTTCACTTGCGGACTACCTATCACTCTTATCCGCAAAGGAAGAAGAGGTGATTGACCTGTTGAGTGAAGAATTTGAAGATGATTGGCGTCCTCACGATACTACGAATCCAATGGCCGCCACGTGGCTTATATCTTTCGAGCGTGTACAGCGTACCAATCGCCTCGCTACTGATATCCTGTCCTTCATGGCATGCATAGAGCCGACAGATATTCCGGAGTCCGTTCTGCCACTACCGCAAGTGGAATCCCGTAAGGCATTGGTCGAATCCATCGGGATGCTGGAGGGATATGCCTTTGTGACCAGGCGGCCTACCAAATCATTCGACCTGCATCGGCTTGTTCACCTTGCGACGCGAAATTGGCTGAGGAAGACTGGAAGCCTATCAAACTGGACCCTCACAACACTTACAAGACTGGAAGAGATATTCTCTAACGAAGATCATACAAACAGAGACAAGTGGAAGACCTATTTACCCCACGCACTAGGACTTTTGAGAAAGGAGGAGGTACAAGGCATTAGGCAAAGATATGAGCTGCTCTACAAAGTTTCGATGTGCCTTCTAGCGGATGGTCGAGCGATGGAAGCCGTTCAATACCTTGAAGAACGTTGCAACTGGCAGAAAAGAGAATATGACGAAGAGCACCCCTCTCGACTTACTTCTCAGCATGCGCTCGCTGGTGCATATCGAGCCAATGGACAGATCAAGCAGGCAGTGGAGCTTCTGGAGCATGTGGTTGCAGTCCGAGAAAGAACACTGGCTGAAGAACACCCTGACCGGCTCACTTCTCAACATATGCT